CCGCTGAGTGAAACTTCCATCCCACTCTGCCCTCATACCGACGCAGAGGGAGAAACAAGGCAGCATGTTCCTCCCTCCGCTTCTTTAAACTGCTTGGCTGAGGAATGCGAGGCTTCTCTTGCCTCAGCCAAGGACCCCTGACAAGCCAGTGGTGGGGTGTGGGCTCCATTAAAGTGCTCCAGCTCCACAGCTGAGGGAGCCCTGATTCTTCTCTAATGGACCCCCCACTTTGCCTCTGGGTTGCGCAAGCCAGAGATGGGGTGGGGGCTTCCTTAGACCTGTCCGCTGAGGGGTGCGGACGTAGCACTGCCTGGCTGCCTTTGCCAGGGAGAGTGGGCTCTGTCTTTCCTCCTGGGCTGAATTCTGGGAGGAAAGACATGGCCTGCTCTCCCAGGCGAAGGCAGCCAGGTGATGGTAGCCAACAGAAGAAAAAGGCAGCTGCCTTGGCACAGGGGGTGGGCAGGTTACGTCAGACATACATGCGCTTGCCTCACGCATTGCTGCCTTGGCACAGGGGGTGAGGTGGGGCTACCTCTTTCTCCAGGGAGGCACTGCCATCGCCAGGGAGGGAGGGCTACAACTTTCCCCCCAGGGTAGTCCGTTCACCCCAGGAGGAAAGACGGAGCCCACCCTCCCAGGCGAAGGCAGACAGGCAGTGCAGAGGTTGCCTGATGCCGGGTCCAGCGCTCGCCAGCAGCATCAGGCAGCCCCACTCTGCAAGGCATTGATGGGGTGGCTTGCACCCAGCGCCTTGCGGAACGGTGCAGAGGTTGCCTGATGCTGGCACTGGGGAGGAGGCAGCCTTGCAAACAGAGCCTGACAGGCTCTGTCCGCTTGGCTACCGCCTGGCTGCCTTCACCTGGTGGGAGTAACAGGCTGCGTTGGCCTCAGCGCCTGGACAATGCAGCTTGTTCCTCCCTCCGTTTCACCATCGCAGTATATCGCCAAATCGCGATTTTTCGCTGGCGATGCATCATGATGTTGAAAAGCTGACACCACTCTCTGAACTAAGGGTATTGGTGTCCCAAGCAGTGTAAGCCTTTGCTTCCCATTCTTACGGAGTGTGTGCAACTCTGAGACGCACATACTTTCCCCAGTTTTACAGTGGGTTCCTCTTTGAGCACTGAATGTAATAAGAGTGTCTCATTTTTGTGGTACATTTCAGGTTCAATACAGCGATTTCAGGACCTTTAGCAGAATAGATTCCTAGACTCTTATAAATTTATCCAAATGCATTTTGAATACCATGTTATTTAATTGATATTCAAATGTGTCGGTTGTGGAATCAGCACTGCATGCATTGTTGGAACTCCTGAGCTCCCGGGTGAATGGCTATATAGGTAGAAGCTATGCTGTGTATAATGCGAAATGGGGAAGTCTGAAGAATCAGGACTCCTGGTTGTAGAAAGAGTCCCATGATGTAGTAACTAGACCTTTGGAGAATGGGGATGATAAAAATGAAATGAAATGAATGAATGAATGAATGAATGAATGAATAAATAAATAGAATCTACACATATGACTAAGCATTCATAAGGGAAAGTGCTGCTCATAAGCAATCTGTCTTTCAAGTATAGTAATCAGCATCTTTTCTTAGGCACAGAATCTCCATCTCTAAACTTACACCTGCAGGACAGCGTTCTACAGCACCTTTTGCTTCTGTATGTGGATCTGCTTGTACACAGCTGGCTTTTGTGTGTGCATGAGTAGCTGCACATTGTCTATGTAGTAAACATTCCCAGCTCATCTCTCAGCCCAAGCACATACTCAAGGCCACAGTATTGGTTTCAAGTAGCAATTACCTCTCAGGTTTGTCTGTAGCCTGTAGAAAATAATGACCTACCTGAAAGGGTTGTTTGCTGAGAATTTTATGGATGCTAAGAAAGTTCTGTATAAATATGACACATTATCATTAATTAACTTATATTATGTAAAAGTTTTTTTTAAAAAAGGACTGAGGTGAACAGAAAGCAGATACATCTTAGACCAAAGATAAACTTAATTGATTTAGGCATTATTTTTACAATGGTTGTGGCTCCTTGTCTGAGCAATTTATAGCCAACCATAAGTGTTTGCTTCACTATATTGTTTGAGAGGACTGATGGCTACCAGATCAGTGTTATATAGCTCCAGCCTGGCCAGCACTTCCTTTATAAAAATGCTTTTTGAAGAATTTCTCACTCAGAAATATAGATTTTGCCTTGGAACAAGAAACTCCCATGTACTGCCTCATTCCCACAAGTAGTAAAAATAAATCAGCAGACAGGACAGTGTTTTATCCATTGGCCAATGGCATTTGTCACATGGTTGTTTAAAGGGCTGTTATTTCACTGTGATCATCCACCGAGGTCCAGATTAAAAATACGATGGGCCAGGAACAGAGGACAATGCAAGAATTGTGCCTGCTCTGTGCTGCCCCATACCCACACACCCCTGGTACATTAGGCACCAATGAAGTGTTTCAAGACATCAAGCTTCTTTTCAGCAGCTTGGGCAATCCAGGAAATAAATTGACTTTGGTGTTTGAGCAAGAGGCTACAGTTGTACAAAGTCAGATCCTTATCTGACATAAATGGAGCTTTCTCCTCTGACTTTGAGGGCGTTGTGCTAACTCGTATAATTTGAAGATCCAGCACACGCCTTTCAAATGGCACCTCTACTAGGAATGAGAATTCAATTCACCCTACAAAGTCTGATCCTTCTCTGGCTAAAGTGTAAATGCTAAACGAAATTGATCAACCAAAGTCATGGGTTGAATGGCAATAGAGTCCCCTCCATGTAACCCACACAAAAGTTTTCATGGATACATATTTGCAGACAAAACCCCCTCAAGATATTCCCTCCCACAGTTTCAAACAATATAAGCCCAGGCAGAGTCGCCACCTGTTGTTTCCCTCCTCTGGGAATTCCCCATCTCTGCACTGATTCTAAACCTCTCTGCCTGCTCTCCTGATGACTAAACTTCCTCATTGCTTATCCTATCCCTTCATCTAGCATATAATAGTCTTACAACCACTTTAACTGCCTTAGTCTGGTGAAGTGCTGATAATTTTGGCTCAAATTTCCTTGCTGCCACCCACCCACAGCACACATTATCTATGGTTCTCTTGGTTCCCTGGAAGGAGATAATGGCTCTCAACAAGCCTGAAGTGTGTAGCGTAGGTCTGCCTTTAATCTATTTCCAAATTCATGAATGCTTTGGTAAACTAGAAAATATTAGGGTGATGAAGGCCAAAATAGCTTTTGTCTCTGTACAGCTTTGGGTATGATCCAGCCTCATTGAAGAAACAGCACCCATGTACAAAGGATTCCTGTACAGCTCAATAAAGGGCTGTCCTGTTCCCAGGCAATAAAAGAAGCACCCGTGCCTAGTGATACCATGTGCTCATATATCCACATCCAGGGCTCTGTCCCTGTATGACAATAAGGAGGGCTAGGCAGGGTGGGAGGGATAAGGAAAGTGACACAGACCTTCCATGCTCTGTAATGGTTCAGTGGGCCATGAATGTCTGAGCTTGTGTGCACATGTCAGGGGGCATAGGAGGAGGAAACACCAGTGTACGGGGTTGGGGGCAGAACTCTGCTAAGCCCCTTAAGAAGTCTTTACGTGAAGGCACTGTGTATGAAGGAGTGTGTCATATCCATGCAGTGCAAGCCCCACTGTGTCCAATGGTGTGCATACGATTGCAGTTTTAGTAATTTGAAGATAGTGAATGCCAAGGAAGTTGTGCTGTGGGATGGTGATGGATAGGTGAAACAGAGCACCAGAATAAGAGTCATCTCATGCAGTTCCACCAAGGCCTGCACTGAGAAGGTTAAACAAGGTCACTTCATTGGTACCCATTTCAAAAGCAATCAATCATGTCATTCCAAAGCATTGTTATGGTAACTAGTAAAATGTGAAGAAGAAAAAGTCATGCACAATTTCTGTCACAGCCAACCTGCTTTTAGTGCTATTTAAAATGGTTTGAAATGCAGTCGGCATCCTAGACCGATGACCCTTGAATTGTAAACCGTTTTGTTTCATTAGATATACAGGGCTGCTCTTTCCAGCATTTTGTACATCTGCCAATTGCAATCTTTAAAGTAAAGAAAGATTATATTGTATTTAATTCATTAGGAGCTTTTCTTGTGCCTGTCACATGGAATAAAAACATTTTCAGGGCTGCCTTTGTTAAAATGACTCACATGTCTTGAAGTGCCAAAATGGCAAAGCATCTTTCAGGGGATGTGCTCTTCATTTTGTGCTGGGTGAAATCCATATTAATGTTAACTTTGACCTATATAATGGCAGACCTTCAAGAAACAGTGCTATTTCACATTTCAAGTGTTTTTTGTTTTTAACTGAACCAAGGCAGTCTGTAAAATAAATTATTCTGATGGAACAAACACTGCAGTCTCTGTTACCCTAAACTAGGAGCGGCCAGCAAGGATGGGAAGTATTTGTAACTCTGACTTCCGGGTACCAGTATCACAGCAGTGGGACACAGAGCGAACGGTGTGAGGGCAGAGAGGTGTGGCTGAACTACTGGAATCTGACCACTTCGCTTGTGCCACTGCTGCCCTAACCACCAGGGTCCGATCTACTATGAAACTAGTGAAGCTTAGGTTTCGGGGGGCCCCAATTCCAGGGAGTCCGCATTGCTTTTTTAAATGGATCTAGTAGACACATTTTGAATCACACAACTCAAATTGCTTTTTTTCTTTTATGTGTTTCAACAATCCCAATGTTTTTAAGTCTGTAGTACAGATGTTGTAAAGGTTGCTGTAAACAACCCCACTGAAAAAGGTAACAGTGGCTACCCAGATGTCATTGCTGGTTGCAAAAAGGCTTCATGGCCCCCAAAATGTAGGTCCACTGCTGCTAACCACACACTGCCCTGCAAGCAGCATCAGCGGTACCAGGAGGCCAGGTTCACAGCACCACCCCTCACAGCTGGCCGCCCCTGCCAAAAACCCAGTAGCTGAAAGACTTCGAAACAATCCAAAGTAATACTGACCTTCCTGTAGCTCCAGTGCTGGTTGCCCTTCATACCATGGCAGTCATAAAGTGTGACGGGGCTGCTGTGCGAAACGGCATCAAAGCAGAATTTTCTGGTGTGAAGAGGTTCTCCTGGACGGATGTCTTCTCTCCAACCAAAGGTGAAGAGCTAAGGGGTGGGGTGTGGGGGGGGGGAAGCATTCATGTGACACTGTGTTCTAACTTGGCGTTTGACTGGGAGATCAGATAGTAGGAAACTTCTGGCTTGGCTTTACTTGTGCATAACTAGATAGTAGACTCCAACCAACCATTAAACCAAAGGTATTTGGCTTCAGTGTAATAATTAATAACAGCCCAGATCAACCCTAAGGAGTAATGGCTAGGTTTTTGGCAAGGAATCGCAATAATTAAAAGGAAAAGAAACCCTCAGTATGAAAAGGTACACAATGCACATCAAGAAAACGCTTATCCCACTGAAGGGGAAATTAGAAACAACCACCGTTCTATAGAATTAATCAAAAGACTGTCAAGATAATGGGTGATGAAGCTGGGAAATGAGCCCTAAGGGCAGTGAAAGAGCTTGGAGATGAAGCCTCACAGGAAGAATTGAGGCCTAGTTCTCACTGAGGTAGTAAATCTGTATAAATTTGGCTATACTTGTTCAGGAGTGCTTGTATAATTTATTAGTCTTCCATGCAACCAATATCCTCCATGTAGGAAACTAGATATCAGGGCTCTAGCCTAGCCTTGGACAGGAGATTTTAAAATTTCATTTTCGTTTTATTTGATACAAGGAAGCATTAAGTTGCAAGAGAATGTATTTGCTGTGGTGCAGCCCAGACAGAGATTTGCCACCTCAGCAAGGACTAGGCCTCAGCTTGTTCAAGGGCGTTGGATCAGTGGTAGAGCAAATCAGGGCTGGCCTGTCCATGAGGCAAGGTGAAGCAGTCGCCTCAGACAGCTTCCTTTGCCACTGCTCCTTGTTGTTTTGTCATCCACTCCTGGCTGCCTCCTCCACACACATGGGCCCATGGCCACCGCCTCCATTACTGCTCACCAAGAAAGTGGCCAGGCATGGAGGAGGAGGTAATGTTTGTGTATGCAGTGGAAGCAGCTGCAGTGGAAAGGGGACAGCATTTTCTGTTTTGACTGAAACAGCAAAACGTCCTGGGCTAGCTCTGGAGTGCAATGCTTTTCATTCATAAAGTTCTAGATTAAATCACTGCCCTCTTCAAGTAGGACTGTCTTGTGCAAGTCCTGCCTTAAACCCTAGAGAACCTGCCAGTCAGTGTGGGCAATAATGAGCAAGATGGACTGGTGGTCTGACTCTGCACAAGGCAGCTTCCTATATTGTTAGCAGTACAAACTATGGTTTATCTGAATGGTATCGATACATAGGAACTAGGTCAATGCGTCATTCTGGAACTTGACATAAAATGTTTCAGCACCAGTGGTTAAGATTAGTATGGAAATTCCCTGTAGCAGGTGCTATGAATGATTGGCTGGTGCTGAGAATGATGTTATGACTGCAGTGGTGGCGGCGGCAGGCAGCCACCAGGAAGAAGCGTTTTCGAATTTGCAATCTCTGCTTTTCAGTTGATGACTCACAGTCAATGGTGGTGGTGATGATAATCACCATCACCTCCACGATATATTTTTAAGGTTCGCCTGGCGTTTGATCTATGGTGGATGCTGCCACAGAAGTTAAGTCCCTACACAGAATCATAGAATATCTGAACTCGCCTTTCTTCAAGATAAATTAAATGTGAGTGTTCTTTTTAAAAATGCTGACATGCATTATTTACACTTCACTATTTATAATTTAAAGCTGAACTGCGCTTTGGAAAAGTGCAAAACTCCAACACCGACATTTTATAAACTCAGCCTTCCCTGATGGTGTGCTAGAGCTGGTGCATAAAATCAACTAATGCACGTTAAGAGCTAATTAGTCCACCTTAAATAGTCTGGTGATTGCTTGCTGCCCTCCCCACTGCCTTCTCCTTCCATGAGAGAGATAAGCTTCCACATGTAACCTGCAGTTCCCTTTATTCCGAAGGTGCTGCACATTGCTGAGTTCCATTCAACCTCCTCATCTAAATTGTGCTGGGATCCTTCAAGGCTACGTATTGTCAGTTTAATTTCTCTCTTTTGTCACTTCCCTCTCCGAACCACAGCTGTAAAGCTCATTTAGAATACCCTCTTCTGTAGCTACTGACTCCATTACAACTCGTTAGAGCCTTTCAGGTGGCTGGTTGAATGATCACAGGGGTTTACAGGGAAGGAAGAACATTTGAAGCCTGGTCTCCCAGGTCCTAATCCAACACTCTAATCATCACACTACACTGCCTGTCTGTACATTTCAGTTGCTGCGAAGACACACCAAGTCTTTTTCTTCTGAAAAAGAATGCTTCTACAAAACCTAATAAACTGAACTGAATGAAACAATATCACTGATGTGGCCAAAACAAAATGATATCATCCTATCCCCAATGGCTGGCAAAGGGCTGATCTGTATGGACAGGATTTGCCCGGATAACATGCTTGTTATTATGCTGCGCCACACTGTGAAAGCCAGGCTTAATTTTATCTTGAGCCGATCCTCACTTTGTGAATACTGTGACTATTTTCTCATTTCTTCTGCTGGCATCTGAAAAGTCAGATAATGAACCTGCTGAGGTTGTTTATCATGTCTGCAGCAGAGAGAGCAGCAGTATATGAACCTGAAGACAGCAGGATGGCTTTTTCTTGTTCCCGTTTAGTTCTTGCACAAATGTCTCCAGCACTGAAGATAAAATAAAGCTACATTTAGCTGGCAGCATTGGGGATGGCAGATAGCCGAAGGATGTGACACTTACAGTGCAGAGGTAGAACAAAGACAAATCCCTCAGAAAGGCTGTTGCTGGTGCCAAAGGGCTATAGAAGGGGATGAATACCCAGAATGCACTGTGTGGGCCGGTTGGGGTGAATTATTTCCCAGGATGCAACGAAGATCCTATGTATTGCCTGATGGACTGAACTTTCCCAGTTATAATCAGGCGCTTTTTTAAAAGACATAAGAACAGTAAGTTTTCTGCTTCTAGTTGCAGGTTCCAGTGGTCTCTTAACTTAAAACAAGGGTTGTTTGGGGACAAGGCCCACAACTGGCTTCTTGATTGAAGAGCCCAGTTACAAGGCTGCGTATTTTTCCTGTTGGCTGTGACCAGCTTGGGGCCTTCCAGAGCTGTAAAAATCTATCCTTCCAGATCCACTTTATGGGGAACCTATGGCCCTCCAGATATAGTTGAACTGCAACTCCCTGGACATTAGCCATGCCTGTTATAGGGCTGAGGGGAGCTGGAATTTGCCCAGAGTGGCTGCAGCAACCCAGTCAGATGGGCAGCATATTGATATTATTATTATTATTATTATTATTATTATTATTATTATTATCCAACACCATCTGGAGGGTCACAGGTTACTCAGGGATTCTTGTGTGGTATTTCCTTGCAGATACCTCCTGGGTTTTTTTTTTTAAAGGGGCTTAGGACTAACTCTACTGATACAACAAGGGTTGTTTTGCACATTACAAAGCGACCAGGATCTCTCTGATCAGTATGGCCTCCCTGGTGTGTGAAACTTTCAGTACATTCATCGGCAAATACGTACAGGCTGTCAGCACATGCTACAGTTATATGAGGACATGTAGGTGTTCGCCCATGAAATATGCAATGGATGAAATTGGTCGGCATAGGTCTGTCTCAGGAGACAATTGCAGAGTGCCCCTTTGAGTGTAAAGTCAAACCATTGAAGAGTCACAGCACCTGCTGTGGCTGTAGAGACCAATACAGGAGATACATGTTTCGTTGCAGCTGGGGCAGATGAAGGTGTCCGGTTGTGCTGATGAAGGTGCACCATGGTTTTTCTTCTCTCTGTACTCCTCCTCCCAGCAGTCATTCCTCCTCTGGCCATTGCTGGGGATAACCACCTGACTGACTGTCTCCAGGGGCTGCAGTCGTCCTCAAGGGATTCCCATGGCAAGGTTGATGTTGCCAGACTTCATGTCACATTTGCAGACATCTTTGTAACGTAGAATTGGTCTGCCAGTGGGCCTGGTGCCTGAAGCCAGCTCCCCATAAAGCGCATCTCTGGGGATCCTGCCATCTTCCATTCTGTGTACGTGGCCAAGCCAGCGTAGAAGTTGCTGAGACAGGAGTGCAAACGTTCCGGGAATGTGGCCTTGAGAGAGCACATCTTTGTTTGAGACTCTGTCCTGCCCTGTGATGCCCCAAATCTTCCTGATGCAGAGCATGTGGAAGGTGTCAAGGCGTCGTTCCTGGCACATGTAAGTTGCCCATGACTCACTTCCACAAAGCAGCGTGCTCAACACGCAAGCCTGGTAGACCTTCATCTAAAGTTGATCAACTTCAGACCTGATAAAATCTTCTAGAACCAAGCGCCCGAGAACCTTCAACTCAGAGAACATGCCACACACGTTCTGAGCCACCTTTCCCAGTTTGATAACCTCCAGTTTTTTGGGACTACAACACCCATCATACCCAGTCAGCAAGGTCATGGCCATGCTGGCTGTGGCTGATGGACACTGTAGTCCAAAAACATCTAGAGGGCATCAGGCTGGCTTGGATAATTCAGTTTTCCTAAATTCTGCCGGACACTTGGCCAAGCTCCAGGACAGGTTGCATCTGAGGGTCCAGTCTGTCATGGGCAGAAGTCTACAATGGTCGATGAGCTGATGACCAGGTTCTAGATCCATTGACACGGGAGCCTGCATGGTTATTCAGTTAGATCAGTTTCTCAGACTGAAAGACCAAGCCTGCACCAACTGTTTATATTTCTATGGAATCCATTGGTTACTCAGGTCACCTGTTCTGGTCACTTTTATTCATGTTACGGTGACCTAAAACTCACACTCCTGCATTGTGTGGGCTGCCTTTGAAAGCTTACTTCAGTGTGTCTGGAATTCTGCTGCAGAACTTATAATTGTGACAATAGTTTTCAAACTTTTTGGGGGGGAGGGTGTCCTACCAGTTGTTTCTGGATACGATGTGCTGGTTCTAACTTTTAAAATCCTATAGGTCTTGGGAAGGGCCATAATTCAGTGGCAGAGCACACATTTTGCATGCATTTAGCATGCAAAAGATCCCAGGTCCAATGCCAGGAATCTCCTAGCAGGGCTGCGAAAAGACTTTTGTAAGATGCACTGGAGAGCCACTGCTAATCACAGCTGAAAATACTGAGCTAGATGGACTCAGTATAAGCCATTTCCCAGTCTGCTTGAATATTGATAGGCTCTCTATTGAATATCTTCAACAATTAAAAACAAAAACAAAAGGACCATCAACTTTTCCATCTTCAGCATGGAGCTCTGCTTGTCCAGCAGTGCCCTCTGCTGATAAGTTCTGGGAACTACATGCATCAAATAAAAATTGCAGGTGGCTTTACAGCTCTATTAGGGGGGGAAACCCAACTAAAATGTCCCAAACTGGTGAGCAATCTTTTGAGTTCTTCATAACGCTTCTTTAAGCTAGATGTAAAACAAAAGCAAAACAACAAATAGGGAGGGGATGAGTGGACAGAAAAAGGCCCAGACTGCAGTTTGGAGGCTTTTTCATCTTGCCCTGAAACATTGTTATCTCTTCTTGCTAATCCTCCCTTTTAAAAACAAAACCTGAACATCCAGCTTGAAGAAATTTCTGGAGGACTTGAAAGCTTGTTCATTACTTTGTGACATTTTAGTTGGTTCTACAAAGACAGTCACCCTAATATTACACAAAAACCAGAATCAAACAATTTCAGCGACTGATTACAGTGACTACATAAAAGAACAAAATACCAACGCAATACAATACAAACTGATAGCAGCAACCCATAATAACCTCCACGAGGGAAGTCTCCAGGGTGAGCAGCTGCTCTATTGAACAGCTGCTTCCTAGCCTTTTCTTCTACTGATGGGAGTTCTGCCACAACCGATGAAATGCCAGGGATTTTTATCTACTAAAAGGTAAAAACTAGTGCTGTGCAGCGGCTGAATTAGACTGATTCGGATTGAGGCAGCCCCGGGTTGCATTGGGTTCACCTGGATTTGGGGGTGTCAAAAAGGGGGCAGACACAGAAATGCCAGCATACCTCCCTAAGAAAACTAAGGCTACAATCCTAACCCTGCTTACCTGTGAGCCATAGCAGTTTTCCTGGTGAGGTGGAATGGCAGCAATAGCCTCCTAGCAGGGGTGATGCTGTAGCTTAAGGGGAAGTGGGGATAGTGGTGAGGTCAGGGCTGTGTGACCATACTGGCAGGGCTAATCTGGTTCTCCTACCCACATAGCCCTGACCTCACCACCGCTTGGTCTCTCCTGGTAAGCGGTAGTGATGCCCATACAGGAAAGCTATTTCAGGTGAGCTGCTCCTGCTTACTGAATTCGGGAGGACCTACTTCTGATTTAGCCTGATTAGGAGCATGCAGCAAGTCTTTCAGATGAGCAATACAATACCTTGCAATGTAACAATTATCGAAATAATTGGCCAGTTGGAAACAGTTGTCATATAGAAGCAAAAGAAGATTTAGAAAAGAACAGAACACTGTGAACAGAACACAGGAAGCTGCCTTATAAGGTGTCTTTCTATTGGTTTGTGTAGCTTAGTATTCTCTGCATTGATTGGCAGAGGCTCCACCCTCCCAGGGTTTCAGACAGGGTCTTCCAGGCCTCCCTGAAGATGGCAGGGTCTGAACCTGGAGTGTGTTGCATGCCTAGCTTGTGCTCTGCCACTGATTCACAACCCTTCCCCAGGTTGTTTTCTCATGAGCCAAAAGCTCTTGAAAAAACACATCCCATGGCTTTTGTTTGATTGAATCTACTGCACCATCAAACCCAGTATGGAGGAGGAAGAATGAGGGGGGGGGGAAGACTGATGCTAGAGGTTTCCCAAGAGACAGCTTTGGTCCCTGGATTCTTAGAACTGTCACTTGGAGCAAGGCTTAAAAGTCCCAAGACACCCTTAAAAGTATGGATTCCAGGCCAAACATGCTCTGATCTCTAAGGGTTATTGGCCAGTTCCCAAACAACAACAAATAAAAATAAAAATAATATTAAGCTGCTGTTGTTTTTGGGCAGGGGCTCTCTCCATGGGCTGGATCGCATGTGCACGTGATGGCGCACGTCTATGATTTCCGGCGTCTGCGCAGATGCACTTTCAGACACTGCAAAAGCGAGTCCCCGTGCACCAGTTTAGTGCAGCACGTGGGGACTTGCTGAGCGGGTGGCTTGGTTCGGGGGCAGTTCACGGTCCGGTAATACGACCCCCATGGGCCGCTTGAGGCTCATGGGCCTTAGGTTGCCAACCCCTGCTTTTGGGTATTTCAACCACCCACTGGCCAACAGAGGCTGCAAATACCAAGCCAGTGCTGACAACAAAGGGACGTTGCTGCTTTTACAAATAACTGCAGCTTGCACGTGGTACTATTTCATTTCAACAAAACATAAAAGGAAAGGATTTGTCAAATGTTCAAAGTCTGCTGTGCTCTACCTTCTGCTACAGTCCATCATTTTGCCTCAGATATTTATCCAGCAGACCACACATTATGCCACACACACTAGTATGGAATCTATTCACATTGGCAGCAATATAAGAAGCATTTCTGTTTCAGGAGACCTTTGGACGCCTCAGCTTATTCATAACAAATCACAACTCTTGTGCTCAGGACTCTGCGCAAGAGGGGGTACATGTGCTATTCTAGACGGAGATGATGAATGTGTTAGGAAGGGGTGTGTCAGCCAGAGGGACTAGCCTGAGAAAGCCCTTTACAATCTTGGAATAGAGGAAAAACCATGTGATGGTCCAAATACCTGCTCATGTGACCAGGTCCGTTCAGAGCCATCCTTCACACAGATGTCCAGCCTCAGCTCCGTGCCTGTTCCTCCGTGCTTACTGTCCACACACAGGTTTGCTGCCACGTTTCGAATCTGGAAAATTAAGCAACCACCATTATGAACCGAAATGCAGCTTGGAAATCTGAAATGGAAGAGAATAATTTACCTCTGTGATGTGTGTGTCTTGTGCACAGCCTAAATCAGTTTGATGAAGACACCAGCCGTTCTCCGATACCTCTGTTAGAATTACTGTAAGTCTGGGCTGGCCCTACCATTAGGCACTGTGCCTCAGGTAGCAGGTTTTGGGGGGGGGTCATGAAAAAGCTTAGTTTTCAATTTGTTTCTATTTATTTCAGCGAATGAGTGAATTTTTTACGCGGGGAAGCACCTTGGGGAAGAGGTGCTTATGGGATTTTCTGTTCCAGCTGCCATTTGGCTAGCCTTGGGTCCTATGCATCTTAACTTTAAGTGGGAGGCAGGAGGGGAACACCATTTGCTGCTATTTCTCAGGCACCAAATGTCTTAAGCTGGTCCTGCGGCTATATAGACTGGTCATTATGCATAAACACTGACAGTTATACAAATTCACATTGTTCAGCATGAATTAACAGCATCATCAGAATTTAGTACCTCGCCTAGTCAATATCATCAACAGATTTCAAGGAATGTGAATGAATCAGAGGCTTTGTACCCATTATTGGCTTAAAACACAGTGAGGTTGCTTTTGTTTTGTTGTATTTCAATTTGAATGTGTACAGCGTTGTATGCGGCATTGCACTTCAATGTGTTTCCGTTCAGCCTGCTGTCTGTCCACACCAGAGGGCAGAGAGAGGGTAGGGATGTCTTTGCCAGATGCAAATTGCCTAGTTGGTTTCCATGTGCCTCTAGCCACTCCCAGCTCTTACTGGTGAAGCTTTTGTCCCCCAGCTCTACGGCCTTGGAAATCACCTTTGTGGGGGCTACCACCTGCAGCCGCTATTCTATACATCTTCTCAGATACAGTGGGATTTACTCCCAAGACCAGAAAAAGTGAACACAGGACAGAACAGAGTCAAAGTTCAAACTTTCCCCCAGCATTTCTAACTCCTACTCTCTCTCTCTCTCTCTCTCTCTCTCTCTCTCTCTCTGTCTCTCACTTTTTCTGACAAGTGATGCTTGGTGCACTTTTGTGCAGAGGGGGAAGGGTGTTGTTAAATGAGAGGTTTTGGGAGAAAGTGAGAGTAGGGGGAGGATGCTTGTGCCTTTTGGGCTTTGAGTTGTTCAGACTATCTTTGTGCTGCTTGATCCTCTGCCCTTTCACCCTCCATGGCTTCTGCCTGGAGAGAGTTCAGCGCTTTGCTTCTCCCAGTGATGGCACTTTAAATAACCAAATAAGAGAAGGCAGATCCCTCCCTCTTGTTTTCAGAGACTCAGAAGGACCAAAATGAGCATGAGCCACTCTCTCCTGCCTGTTGCAGGAAGGACTGGAGCAGGATTGGCCTAGGGAGAACCCGACAGAGAGGAATGGTGGACTGCATTTGGCCCCCAAGCCTGAAGTTTTCCATCCCTGACATATGTAATACACTGGCCAACCAAACTAACCAGCTGCTGTACTGATCTAGAAATAAGCAGTTCTACAATCTTATCTACTTGAATGAGGAGCACATGGGAGCAGTAACACCTGGAAGATCAAAGTTCCGCTTGCCCATCAGACTTCCCCAGTGGAGGCCATTCCCATTGGGCGGAAGGCAAGGAGGCCAACAGTAGGTCAGAACCAAAGAGCAGGCAGAGCTGGAGCTAAAAATAGCTGGTGCCAACTAATTCTGACTTCCTCCCCAGCAGCATAGCTAGGAAGGGGGCAGGGGGCACTGGGTGCCACTCACCCAGAGGGCGACATTCTCTCCTGGGAATGATGCAGTGGCTTGGGCACCTGTAGCCACCACACTGCCTTTTCAGGTGGCTTGGGGCTCGCATTAGCCTACTGCCTCCCCCTCAGCTGGAGGGCGGCCGAGAGGCAAGCGGCGGGCAGAGTGCCCTGCCAGGCCCACCTTGCTCCCATGGGCGGCTCGCCCTGCCCCCCGGGTGTCCCAGGTGCCCGAGCGGCTAGCTACACTGCTGTTCCTCCCTGCTGAATTCTATCAAATCACCCCTGAGGCTAAGGAAGTGGCAGCTGATAGTCGGTGGAAACCTTGACCAGTTGTAAGTAGGCTGAGGCTGGATTGAGCTTGGTGGGGCAATGCTCCACTGGCCCTAATGGACAAGCCTCCCCTATGCTTTCCATTAGCAACCAGACATGTCTGGGGAAAGTATAGTCAGAAGAACTCCTTTCTGAACCAATCACAGATCAGAGAAGTTCTTAAGCTGAAGCCCAGCACTTATCCTTATTTCGGCATTAAATCCCCTGCAGATTTGGCTGGATGCAGCCATGAATACGTGTGGAAGCTTACAGAGCAGTCAGCAGATACGTAATGAAGATGTCTTTGGACCCAGGCTTGTCAGATGGCTCCAGATAAAAGACTTGAGAAAGGGCCTGAGGGCTGGTGGAGGAAGATTGTGGAGCTTTAGCAGCAAAAGAATACATCCTGCTTTTCAGCAGGGGAGGCTTTGGACTGAATCTTCCCAGGGCCTCAAGTGGCTGTGAATGAGTGATGGGAATGAGGCTTGTCAAAGCCTGCTTCCCCATAGCAGACAACTGGATGGGGGAGGGAATCAGAGCTACATTGGCTGGCTGAGCCTCAGGGTGTCTTGCCTCCCTTTGGGCAAAAAGAAGCTTCTTCCTGCTTGGATGGTTTGAATTCGGTTGCTAGTCTCATTGCTCTTTCTCACCTGGTGCATCCACGGCTGATTCATCCCCTTCTATTCTGACTTATCCGGTGCTACTGGATTAAAAAAAACTTTAAAATATACACTGGCCTTTGAGCTGCAATGGTCACTTGAACCAGCACTACACTGGTACCTCAGGTTAAGTACTTAATTCATTCCGGAGGTCCGTACTTAACCTGAAACTGTTCTTAACCTGAAGCACCACTTTAGTTAATGGGGCCTCCTGCTGCCGTGCCGCCGTAGCACGATTTCTGTTCTCATCCTGAAGCAAAGTTCTTAACTTGAAGCACTATTTCTGGGTTAGCGGACCATGTAACCTGAAGCGTATGTAACCTGAAGCGTATGTAACCCGAGGTACCACTGTACTTCTTTTTTGGCAATCACTCGTAGCCGAGTAAGATTGTCTTCCATAAACACGGTTTCAAAAATGAGTGGAGGCCAGTTCTGGATCCACACGTCCTTCCACAGTGGGGACATTGGTTTCATGTGCGGATGCCTGATCATCGTCTCCCAAAGCAACTACTCTATTCCGAACTTAAAAATGGAAAGCATAATGCTGGTGGTCAACAAAAGAGGTTTAAAGACTGTCTCTAGGCAAATCTTAAAAAAAATGCAGTATAAACAGTGAACCAGCACTACTTAGATCTCGATACCTGAGCTTCTGAAGTCACCACATAAGTTGCACTCTCTCAACATCTATCATTTACTTAGGAACAAATCTGCTTAGCACTGCTGGATGCTTTGCTCCTATGTCATCCTAGAGAATGCCAGCAGCTGCTCCTTGGATTCCCCCCTGCTTTGCTTTGCAGGAGGTGAATTATCTCTTGCCGGTACTAAAAGGAAGATGGAAGCTATCATAACGTCTGGGCATGATGGGGTGGATAACCCCAAGGGCTGCATGCCATTGTGTGGAATCTTCCGGGGGCTGCACAACAGTGGTGGGTGTGACCAGAAACAAAAAGTGGGTAGATGCCACTCTTACCAGGGTCAGTAGTGGTTGCTGGGACAGTGCAGGTAAGGTGGCATTGCTCGCCTGCCTTCTGAACGCCAAGTGTTGCTGCTGGGTTGGGAAGCCTCAGATCCAGGGGCTGAATGCAGCCTCCACTCTGGCCTCTGTATCTGGCCCTGGGAATGCTCCCCAGGCCACCCAATTCATTGGCCCTGGGTCACATTCTTGAGTCTTTTTGCGTGGCTGGAAGATGCCCTTGAACTCAAGTAGTGCCTCTTGCTTGCTTGGCTGGAGGATACAGTGTGGCATGTGAGTGTGTAGAAAGTAGCCTACTGTCCAGAGGTAACATTTGCATTACTTGTTCCACTCACTTCTGCCTATGGCCCTTGAAAGATTGCCCAGAAGGGAAGGCAGCCCTCTGGCTGAGAAAAAACAACCTTCCTCATCCCTGCTATAATATGTAAATATTGCACAATATTATTGTGCACTGTTGGGTGCTTAATTAGCCTGATAACTTGCAGACTCACCGTATCTGAGGCTCGGAAGCATATTGTGGTCCAGTGGCAAGAGCAGCTGGGGACAGGTTGGTTCTGCAATTACACGCATGGACTTCATTGGGTTTTGCCACTATCTCAACGGAAACCTCCTAAGACCCAGGTCAGGAATGGCAGTTTGACAGTATTCCAGGCCAAGGCAAAGTTGAAGTGGCCCAAGTTGCGACAACAGCTTGCAAGGATATGCGCAGAAAATGCAAACTCTTTGGCACCACCTTGGGGACTACTTTTGCAAGACATATGGCTGGCGAGAGATGAAGGATTGCCGCTCTGTAATGCTGAGTGGAAAACCGTGTAAGCATGTCCTGTTGTCAGCCAGCATTAAGGAGATGGGAGCACATTCATTTAAGATGCTACATGTCCATGAAAACAGAGAGCCAAGTAAAAAATAAATAAATACAAGCATAGACTCTCTCGTTCATTGTTGTCAATGTTGATTAGCACAGAGTACCAGCTGCACAGAACAAGAATGGAGGAATGACAGATTTGCAGAGGATGGTTGGATGGATGGAAACTGATCCAGCACATGAATAAAGGAAAGGCTCCATATCCAAATATTCTTAATAGCAGGAGTGGGGGACCTGTGACTCTGCAGATCTTGTTGGACTCCTATCTCCATCAACATCTGCTGGACTGCATGCCCCTCCCATGCCTAATGGAAACCTCCCAAGGTCATCCAGCTCACAACGTACTGTGAGCAAAGATAAGATCTAACATAGATGAGAGGCCAATATATGGGTGGTGTTATTTCCCTACAATCATGGCATTTAGGAAATTGGCAGGCATAC